GATCACTACATGTATTACTTGTATAACTGGTAATTCTCAAGCTAATACATGTCGACGAGCGCTAGGGGACGGCCGCTCGGCTTTTGCACCCTGCTCCCTCTTATGCTATGCTGGTGCCACTGTGCGACCAGTGTCTCTTCCTCCAAACTGCACACGTCACTCGCATGACCTTGATTCCATGTGGGGTCTAGGACCTCATCATCCTCCACATCATCTTCCACCCACTCCTCAACACTGACCTCCTTGCAGGTATGCACACTGCCGAAAGCCACAGCAGTTGGCACCTGTTTTTTTCCAGCATGTAAAGTCTGCAAAGGACATATGGAAATTGTTTTAGAATTGTATCCAGGCAACACTTTTCCCTATAAACTGACCTCTCAGTTTGACTTGTGAGGGTATTGCCCCAGAATTACAATATTGTTGAAGTACCTCTTAGCTATTGATCACTGGTTTGAATATAGCAGCTTGTTATCTGGTAGTTTCTAGTGTAGAAAATATCAATCTGTTTTCTATCACTTAGATCTGTGTAACAAGTGTTGTAGGTGTGAAACAATATTACAAGTGACCGATGTAGTACATTCGAATCAAAGTAATGCTTCGATTTGACTCTCAGATATGGAGTGATCACCCCAAATATACTATTTAGCACCAAAAAAATAATAATTACTTTTTAAAACTTCAATGTAAGCAGCAGATTAGCAGCAAAACAATTAGAATGTTTACAACTGTGCAGTAAGCGCCCTATTTGACGCTTCTATTTGACTCTCAGATATGAAGTGCACCGCAGGCCGCAAATGTACTATTTAGCAGATTAGCAGCAAAACAATTAGAATGTTTACAACTGCGCAGTAAGCACACTATTAGACGCTTCTATTTGACTCTCAGATATGAAGAGCAGGCCACAAAATGTACTATTTAGCAGATTAACACCCAGAAAATACGAATGTTTACCACTCCCCTGTAAACGCACTATTAGACGCTTCTATTTGACTCTCAGATATGAAGTGCACGCCTCAAAATGTACTATTTAGCAGATTAGCACCCAGAAAATAAGAATGTTTACCACTGCGCTGTAAGCACACTATTAGACGCTTCTATTTGACTCTCAGATATGAAGTGCACCCCGCTAAAATACTACTTAGCAGTTTAGGACCCAAAAAATGTTAAGTTTTAAAACTGCAATGTGATAGCAGTATTTGACGCTTCTATTTGACTCTCAGATATGAAGTGCACCCCACTAATGTACTACCCCACTAATGTACTATTTAGCACCCAAAAATGTTTACTTTTTAAAACTCTGATGTAACCGCGGTATTTGAAGCTTCTATTTGACTCTTAGATATGAAGTGCACCCCACCCCACCAATGTACTAGTTTGCAGAATTCTTTCCTAAGCGGCAGCATCCTCTCCCTACACTAATAAGACCGCATGTGCGTGCGGCGCTACGTGACTCCAGCTTATATATAGAGGCTGGGTCACATGCTGCACTGGCCAATCACAGCCATGCCTTTAGTAGGCATGGCTGTGATGGCTTCTAAGGGCACACGAGTCAAACGCTTGTTGATTGGCTGCCCTGCAGCCTTTCAAAACATGCCATGATATGCATAATTATGATCTAAAAGAAAACACGATTCATCAGAGCTGGCAACCTTCTTCAATTGCTGCATGGTCCACTTCTGATGCCCACATTCCCATTGAATATACTTTTAGTGGTGAACAAACTGCAATGCGCTGTGTTCTGACACCTTTCAGTCATGGCCAGCATTACATTTTACAGCAATTTGAGCTACAGTAGCTATTTTGTGTAATAAGAGCAGACAGACAAACCTTTGCTCCCTAAGTGCATCTATAAGCTTTGGGCACTCATGACCCTAACCAGTTCACCAGTTGTCCTTCCGTGCACCATTTTTGGTTGGTACAAACCATGAACCACTACATTTTGGAGGTGCTCTAGCCTAGTCATCTAGTCATAACTATGTAAAAGTCACTCAGATCTTTTGCCCATTTTTCCTACTTTGAACACATGCAATTCCAGAACATCCTGTTCAATTGCTGCCTAATATATCCCACCTCTTGACAAGAGTCATTGTATTGATATAACCAAGGATATTCATGTCACTTGTCAGTGGTTTTAATATTTTGACTGATCAGTGTAGATTATACTGAGAAATATTTTTAGATATGTTTTGATACAGTTTGTGACGTTCTTATCAAATTTAATTTAATTTACCATTTTTTGTTGTATGTTTCTGATTAAATTTTTATTCTAATCAGAATAATAATTAATTCAGATTTGTTTAATTCATTAAAATTCATTTGATCTATTATTCAAAACTATTGTTCAACATACTTCATACATAATGAATTTATCTTAACACACAATTTTACTGATCATGTTCACAATTACTTGTATAAAACCCTTGTCATATTTGTTCTTTTCCTTGTATGTTGTTTTATTACAATCCTTACATTTATGTAATAGTGCACTTTGAAACACTTCTTCAAATACTGAAATCAGCAAAATTGAAATATGTTTTTATTGCTTTTTCTTTTTAGTGCACAATGTATAACAATAAGTAGCCAAATAAAACGACTTATTAGATTACTCTTGTATTTTTTTTATTAACTTGCTTTCATTTTTTTAAAACAATGCTTTGGATAATTAAGGCATTTGAAAAAAGGGGGGGAGAGTAGCAGCAAGCGAATTTGAATTAACATTGAAGGGAATTCAGGGGATTCAGAATGTTCCCTGTTATAGAAAACACTCACTCACTCTGGGCACTAGTCAGTAGACATGACAAAAGCTGCTGGCCACACACTCTTCTCCTCATCCCAGTAGCTGTGAGGGTCTTCAGCAGGAGTAAAAGCACATTCACACAGGTAAGTTTGACCATTTCAGAGGTTGACCATTTGGCTGCTTGTCGATTCACTTTCTGCGTAGAAACCTCTAACAGCATTAAGCCAAAACTTAGCTGCTCCACTCTTCTGATTTGGGGTTTGGTGTTGGTGCTGCTGGAAATATGGTAGTTTTAATACCCACAACTACCTCAAGCAGTATGCCTCTCTTACACTGGAAACCACAGAATGTGTTAATAAGTTAGTTTCACCAGTATGCTGTCATGCTGTTGAATGAGTGCTCCTTTCCACATAACCTTAGGATCACACATAGACCGGTATTCAGTGGTGTTTCTTGGTTTTGTGCTGCCCTAGGCAGGACACAACTCAGGCGTCCCCCTCCCCCCGCGCCACCCCCACCCATCCCTTCCCACCCGCCCCACCTTCTAAATACACACACACAGTCAGACACACACACACACAGTCAGACAAACACACACAAAGTCAGACAAACACACACACACACAGTCAGACACACACAGTCACACACACAAAGTCAGACACACACACACACAGTCAGACACACACAGGCACACACACACAGTCACACACAGACAGTCAGACACACACACACACACACACACACAATCACTCACATTAACACTTTTTTTTAATTTAACCCTCCCCAGCCTCCTTACCTTTGGGAATGCTGGGGGCGGTCTCTCTCTCCCTGGGGGTCCTCTGAGCTGTCTGCTCAGTTCCCTCACACGCCGCCCGCAAAGTGAGGCTTGGAGCCAGAATATGTCGTCATATTCCGGCTCCCAGCCTCACTCTGCGGGCGGCACGCGAGGGAGCTGAGCAGACAGCTCAGAGGAAGAGCTCCCTCGGCGCCCGCCCAGCCGCCCGCCCAGCCAGCATGTCAGTTAGCCGCAAGGCTAACAAGGCATTTGCCCTGGGCATTTGGGGGGCGGCGTTTTTTGCCGCCCCCTGGAAAATGCCGACCAAGGCAAATGCCTTGTTTGCCTCGCGGCTAATACGTCCCTGCCGGTATTGCAATTCTGTCTGTTGTGTCTTGTCTGTGTGTTAGGTTCCCTACCAATTGTGACATGGATAAGGTTCCCCTTGAGTTTGTTAGTCTTTGGGTAAGTAACATTTTGCTATAATCAGCGTTTAGGCTCCGTTCAGCAGGGAGCTCATCAGAAGCATGTCTGCTCAGCTTAGTTGCTGGCTCCGCCCCCACCTGCATTTATCTTTTGACCCCTGAGTCAACCTTATTTGGGATTCCATCATTTGCTTCATTTTGAAAAAAACCCCAAAAGAATAAATAAAACTCTGCATTTCCTGATTCATTTATTGAAATATTTATACCTAGCACCTGTTGTATTGTGTTTTGCTAGAGGGAATGTTGTTTTAACGTTA